TTAATGGCACACATGGGACATAAAGAAAGAGGAAATCTTGCTGATCCGAGGAAAAGTTGCACGCCTGCTTATAAGAGGGTACACCATCGTCTGCTGTGATTTACGGCCAATAGAGAGTCCCGTTTCCTCTGGCCATTACCTCTGTATCATATATCCCAATTAAACCACATCCCATCACTGTTCAGGACACTTAAGATGCAATCTGAGACCTCCCTCTTTGAAACAAACAAAAAATGTACCGGTAAGCAGAAACACTGACTAAAATAAAAACGCATCAGATTTTAGACCCACAGTAAAATTAAGCATCCTTGACACAATTTATACGTTGTCCCTGATATTTGATTCTCAGCCACATCTGAAACAGGAAAGAAAAACTGAAGCATGACGGAGAAAGAATTTTCAAATGGCAGACAGCTGCATTGTGAAGTCAATGTGAACTGATAAATTTCCTAATAAATACACAAATTACCCTGCAGTTTGCAATAGCTGAACAGTTAGATTTGAGGGATTTTTAATGGAAAGAAATGATGAAATGATAGGTTGGGCAAGAAAGGGGAAGCTTGGAAAAAAAATTTGCAACCTGACGCCACTTCCGCGATTGTGCACAAAGTCTATGACAGTATGGAGAGTCAAGAATTTTTTTTAAGTATTTCCTAACAAAATTGGAAATATTTCTCAGTCCCAGATTCATGTCTTATCATCATTTTTGCAATGAATGACCTTCACTGACCGAAGACGCTATGGGGACAGTCAAAAAATCCCACACCTCGGTCCTAATTACCCTAACAATGAAAAACTTCCCAATAACACAGTGACGGCCTGCCCACGCATACAAACGTACTTGCACACTTTGCGCATTCCTGTTTAAGAAAAAAAAGGGGAAACTGGATATTTTTACAGGCAGCAATAACATTTCACAAAGTAAATTGGATGGAGCTTTCAGTTACTTTATATAATTTAATTTTGGTTTTTCCTACTTGGTTCTCCGATTATACACAGTTCCAAAAATCTCCACGAGAAAATGCCTCTGGGAAGTAACACGAAGCAAATGGAATCCTATTACTTGGACACCGGATAACTTGTCAAGTTCAAGGTTTTTATGAGTCCAGCAGAAAATTCAATCCAATCAGAATGAATTTCCGGTCAATCCCCTTATCAAATTATTTTTTTTTCTTATCTTTTGGGAGAAAAGGATTCTTCTGAGAACTCAAAAGGGGGTCTTTACAAAAGAGTCTCAAGGCAACCATTATCTTTACAGCAGAATCTTGGCATGGCATTCACCTAGGATGAACTCTCGAGGCAAGGCCGTCTTAAAACTGTCTAGTGATACCACTCAAAATTCTTCCTCTCTGAAGTGGATGGCTCTGCGCTGTGTCATCAGAGAATCTGATCTCGCAATTTCTGAAGTCAAAAGCACCCCTGCTGCGCAGAGATTTGCTGGGGTGAAACCCAAGCGACAGACATGTCCATGAGAAGGAGCAATATAACCGACGTGGCGCAACGATGCAGAGAAGCCCTTTTTATATTGGCTCTTATCAAAAGTGATGCGCATTCCGTATGCGTGCCACTTCTACGCTTTATGACAATCCATCAAGTTAATGTTCGTGGAGTTCAATCCTCAATTATTTTTTTTTCCGGCTTGTCCAGATTTTTACACAAATGTGGAGTGTATTTAACAACATGTTCGCTTACAAGAATTTTGATGACTAAAGTTCATTGAGAAACAAAAATAGTGGGGTCAATATGGGTCAGTGTTGCTAAGTGTGCTCACTGCTCAAGGAGAATTTATTCCTTGGGTTGCAAAGTGGACATTATTTATTTACAAATGTATAAAATCATTTTAAAGTTGAACAAAGAAATTGACTGGGGTGGGGTATGAACCTATGACCTCCGGATTGCCGTTCTGCTGCTACACCATCTGAGCTATCCAGCCCTATGTTGGCGGTTCCCCACAAATTGTGTTTTAATTTCAAAAGAAAATCAGACGGTGCATAATTTCACAGGTTTTGTTCCAAACCTAGCATAAAAAGGAGGGAACATGTTAAAGTCGGTTTTGGCTTTAAGAAATGTGAAAATATAAAGAGTATATTCAAATTTCACACTCTGCCATGTACATAAATGTTGCAAATGTCAACTGAAAATGGCTGAAATGCATTCAAACATTACGGCCACAGAACTGAAGAAAAAAAATTCTCACAAAGTCGAACATCCTGTACTTGGAATGGACATGACATGACAATGTTTCCTGTATACTGTAATTCCCTGAACAAAATTAGAAGCCATTCTTGAGTTGGTCCCATGCCCGCGCACATGCCGCACGCGTTCTTAAAGACGAGGTGCGCGCATCTCTGTAACCCTATTGGTTGAAGGAGCCCGGAGTGCGTGCTCAGCACAACTCGGGTGAGCCTGGTGCCTCCAAAAAAAATGGCTGTCACCAAATTAGTCTTTAAAAAAGCGGAATTCTGTCCATTTCGTCAATTCATTCATTTTTTCTACTTCAAAGCAAAAATTCCACGCGTTCATGTGAAGAGTTTGTTACCAAAACGCGATAAACGCCTTTTTTTCACCTTTTTTGAAATCCTGCCCCCTTGCCCAAAGTCAGTTTGGACGGCTGTTCTACGGTTAAACACAATTTAAGAAAACAATACAGCGAAAAATGGAGTTTAGAGAAAGCTGTTACACTGTGTATGTCTTAGGTTTTCATAACTGTAACTTTTCTCACTAAAGTGGAACGCCATTATAACGAACATCGCAGGATCCACCGAAATTGTTCATAATAATTGCGCTCTTTCCGTACAGCGATTTTAAGCTGCTGGTGCTCCGGTACTAACTTTTCAATAAATAGCGCCCTTCAGAAATTCACCCTTCACACCCTGGTAGTTAATGAAAAGACAACTTTGAACACGTGCCAGCTATTGAATTATGTACAGAGTTTTTTAGCTTACTGCCTACAGCAATGGGTGGCTTTCCCCTTCCATTCCTTGGGGAAATAATAGCCACTCATCACATCTGCTGACAGTTTTGAAGAGCAATGTTCAGTACGTTTTGTAAAAAAAAAACGAGAGCCAAGCATGATGTTCGGTATAGCCGAATGTTTGGCATGGCAGTGTTTGGTATGGGCTCCGTGCACCAAAAAAGAGGGCGCCTTTTTACCTAGCAACGACGTCCCATGGGCGGGACATTTAGCTGGTTGACGCGCATCGTTCCTTGTGTGTGCCGTACGTACACCAGGGGATTTTTACTATGTACACACAGTGGAACGGCCATGCGTCGCGGCAAAATTGCAGTCAGGCAAGATGGCGTCGGTAGGTCAACCCCTTTGCCGGTGAGGGGGTACTTGTGAACGGAGCGGATAGCGAAGTTCCACTGTATTTTTAAATATACATGTAGGCCTATCATTTAGGAAATGCACAGTTAAATACAATCCTTACTAAGATCACATTCTCCAGAAGATGTACCAGCATGCATACACTGTACATGTATGTATGCACATGTATGCGTCAACAAAGAGAAACCACCAATTTCCCCCAGCATCCACCAAATCCTGTAGGCCCTATTCACTGCCAAAACATGTTGTGATTGTGGCTTCTGTGTCTTGCTTAGCAAAGCCACGGTCCTCTTGAGTTACTCGATTAAAGTTTACTCTATTTTCTGGCATGTCTAGACTCCAAGTGTCAGTTGAATAGAATGAGTCATGCAAATACTCCCACTCAAAACTAACATGGTGTATTAAAAAAAAAATCTTGGGACACTGAGATCAAACAATGAACTTATGAGTGTAGAGTGCTACCAGATCAGCCAGATTAATTCCGCTACGTGTGAGCATGTATTTAGCCAAATTTATGATTTTCAGGCTACGGTGATTTCAAAGAATCCATTGTGCATTACGATGGATGTATGTATGCAATTCCAATATTATGAAAGGCAGTGGAATGATTCAGAGAAATGATTCAAAACTCCTTGTCTGTAATCTCCTTGAGCATTACTAGGTATGGATGTATCGGGTTTGAAAAGTACATTTTTTTCAGGTTTATTCACTGAGCTCTCATTAAAAAAGCTTTGTCACTGACATTAAATAATGATGGAGTTGCCAGCATATAATTCCTGCTGATGTCGCTTTTTTCCTACACACGCTTGCCATACAACAGTCAGGCATGCAACTGGAAAGTCACCCCCCAAAAAAGAGGAAATTCAAATATTTCCAAGGCTTTGTACAGTGTTTTTCCATTTTTAATAGCACACATGGGAAGTAAAAAAAAAAAAGGAAATCAGCTGATACGAGGAAAAATTTCATGCCTGAACAGTAGTCCAAATTCAGAATAACAGTAAATTGTATAAAAATTGTATACAAGTTGTTAACAAGAGACAAAGTCAAAATAAATGTTAAGTTTATATTACTGGTGAAAAAAAACTGAGCCCCCCCCCCCCCCAAATGTCTTTCACAATTCACAAGGACCATGAGTTGATCAGCCGTACCTAGTAAGCCACCTGAAATTGATATGAAAAATTTGGTGAGATTTTCTCCGCTCTACACAGTATGTAGGGTTTTTCCAACATACATGTACCGGTACATGTGTTAGTTCTGACCACCGAGCGACAACGTGCCGATCAACGTGCTTGGCCAGCAGAAAAAAGTTTTCTAAAATTTGCAGCAATGACATTTTGTACTATACAACAGATTAATAATAATACCTTTATGCAAAATTAAAACTTGTACATTATAATGATTCAACAGTTGCTAATATTTATTGTATGAAAAAAAGAAAGAATGAGTTTTCCGTTTATCAAACCATTCAAACATGGCGGCGCAGTGTGTCTGCATTAGAAAATGACACTTACAATTTTTGCTCGAACGTTGTATTTAAAGTGTAAAATAAAATAACTTAATGTTTTCTAATTTTAATGAAACCAAAGTTTGTTTAATATAGACTTTTAACAGAACATGCAGTGATATCTATGAAACTTTAGGCTTTCCGGTTTTAAAGTAGGTGTACTCTTACCTTCTTTTTAAGTCGACTCCCCGCCATTTCTTTCACGTGAAACATTCTACTTCCATACAATGGTAGCTGCTTACAGAACTCCACGTACATCTGCTTTGCCCTTGAACCTCGCTCGCTGGGGTCCCGTACATCCACCAGAGCGCCGGAGTAGCACTGGAAGCACCTCTTGGCGGACTTCTGCACGGCCCGGACATTACTGTAGCCGTGCGGCAGGCATTTCTTTACTTTCTCCAAGCAGAGTTTGTCCGCCGCATCCTCTGGAATGTTGCTGGAGTGCGTGACGATTATGTTGGGGCCACCTCGAGATACCGCTCCGCCTGTCCACGGTAATGGGCTGTCCTCATCACTGATGATATCAGGGCTGGGTTTATGACATCCGGAGGTCTTGGGGATGTCGTACCTGTCATCCGAGCTCTGGCTGTAGTGATGATGATGAAGAGGAAGGGGAGTGTGGTGAAGAGGAAGAGGAGTTTGGTGCAGGCCGTGGTGAGTCTCACCATCTGGGACGGGGCTCTGACGGCCAAATTCGTCCTCCAAGATAAAGTCGTCGATGATTGGGGTCTCAATGTCTTCAGCGGGCATATCCAGTGTGACTGTGGGCAGGCCCATGGCTGGTTGCCTTGTGGTGGATGCCGGCTGGTTGGGGTTGCTGTGGTGGTGGTAATGGTGGGGTTGCTGGCCCTGCTGCCGGGCATGTGTGGTCGGCGTGTGGTGGGCCGGTGACTCAGCCAACAGCTGGAGAGCGGCTAGTTTCACTGCATCTTCCTGGCTGCATGGCAGATGCTCTTCAATAATCTCACGGTTCAGCTGCATTGAAGAACATCAAAATAAACCACTCATGTAAACACACCATTTATCAAACTTCAATACACAATTTGACTACATACATTGTACATGTAATAAACAATGGATTATTACAATCAGACACGAATGTCTGTATGTTCATGAACTATTGATCTTTTTGTGTGCTTTCTGATTTTGGAGAATATAACCGGCTCGTACGGTCATTCAAAACTCCTTCAGGGATAAATGCGACAAAGAGTGGGAGAAAAACACAATAAAACTGTGCCCGTTGAGTCAACATCACATTCAAATGATAACCGTACATGTTTCAACACCGAGCCAAAAAAGTGTGGTAAGTTCCGCTTTCCTCTCCCGTTGGTGGTTGCTGTGTGCTTTGTAAACATGGCCAACCAAAGTCCATGAATGAGAAGAGAAACAAGGAAGTGAAAACAGTCACCAGAAAAAAAAATATTAATAATAACTAATCCGACAACAAAGACAGTTGACAAGTAAATGCACGTGTGTGCCGACTTCGTCGAAACTGGCCACAGAATGATTTGTGAAGGTGAAGGCACCTCAATGCCCTAGCAACAGATTCAAGCGCGCGACTTATTCGCAACATGACACCGCGGAGGCTAATGAGGAGAATTAGGGAGGGTTTTCCCTGACGCGGACGATAAGCATCTAACCTTTCTGGGGCTGATGAAGCACACGGCTGGAGCGTCAAGTCACCATTTCAAAACACCATTAAGCAAGAATTTGGTCAAGCCAGCTCTTGGAAACCCGAGAGAGTCGCGCCAATTCATTCCTTGAACTCTGAGCCAATTCATTCCTTGAACTCTGAGCCAGTTCACTGATAAACTGGCGAGCATGTTACTGATGGTGTCATTTTTGTCACCCTTTCATATTGAATTTCTCTAAAACAGAGCATACATGCTTGTCGTATACAGATTTATTTTTCTGTTTCCTTGACATGTCTTTATTTAACAACAATCATATTAAGAGGGTTCTGTTCTTAAAGGCATTTAGGATCATTTGCATAAACCTCAAATGTAATCTACCGAATTATTACTAAAAAACTTACATAGATTAAAGATCGTACAGGAACCGGTACTAAATACCCCGTAAAATTATTCCGTCTGGCTTGTTGCCATTTAGAAGAAATCAAGAAATATGATTTCAACGACCAGTCAATTGACTAATTTTTGGAAATCAGTGCTTTTGACAAAATCATGTTTTGTGATCAAAAGGTTGTACATGGTTTTTCACTGTTTTCTCAAAAAACGTAATATCCACTGAGCTGAAACTTCAACAGGTTAATGTTTGAACATTCTTCTTTGAACGTTCTTCTTTGGATTTTGAGTGGGATTAGGCCTATTATTGTGAACATGTATACAGTATGCATGAAAAATATCCTAAACGCCTCTAAATGGATAGTTCATCTGCACAAGAGACTTTTAATTTCAAATTAAAATTCAAAGTGCCGATGGACTAATGTTATTATTCATGTGATCCTACTATAGTTAAGAAGGCCATACTTAAACAACTTAAATCTACCGTTAATTTAAGTAATAAAGTTAAAAGAAAACTGTAAAAACGTCAATAATTCACCACAACATCCAAATTTAAAGGGAAATTGTCCCACTTATATGACCAGTGTCACATTTTCTCTTGATTTAATATTTATAGAGTGTGTTTACTGACTCATAAAAACTTAATTTCTATACAGTGAAAAAATTATGAATAAGATTCACTGTTCAATTCAGAAAGACCTGAAAACAAAATTCAACTCAACACTTACTCAGTATGCAACTGGGAAGTAGCAAAAAAAGGATATATGCCAAGCTTTACAAGAATTTATCATACAGTGTTTTCCAATTTTTAATTCAATTTAATTGAGGCATACATATAAGTGTGAAATAAAAAATGAAGATATCAGCTGATCCGAGGAAAAATTGCAAGATTGTTAACTTACAAGCAAATTTCATACAGTACATTATTATTTATGTACCGGTATGAGCTTTTTGAAGGTGTAAATATTTGTTTTCTGTTGTTTGATTCCTATTTTGTTTATGACGGGCAGGAAAAAGTCCACAGAACACGTTTCAGAGTGATGCCACAGATGTGACGGCCAAAAACTAAATGATTTCTGGGGCCAACTAACCCCCTGCAGTGTCGGACATGATATAGATGGATTCTTATGGAGTCAGGTGAGCAGACTGGTTTTGCCCCGCAGTGCATTGTCTGGGCGCCGGCACGTCAGGCAGGACAGGTACATGCGGACAGGTGTATGTACTCATCACTGTATACATAGTTTTTCAAGTTAACGGTCTATGTGAGCTAATGGCGCTGCTTGTTTGGCTGATTCTAAATGCCATGGGGGACAGCCGGTACAGTTTGCGTCAATGTCCATTCCTTACAAATTGTCGTGAATGTTTGTTTCATCTCTGATTTGTCAAAAATGTTGGAGTACATTTTGAAATGTTTACATTTTACACTAACCTACATGCATGTTTGCGTTACATACCGGTACATTGTATACTATGTGGACATTCCTTTGTTCTTGTGCAATTAAGAAATAGCACGTTTTATTTATTTTTTTTTTATTTCAAACATTTTTTGAATGTGAATTTTTTACCCTAATTTCCTTCAATGGTACATGTACTTCATTTTGCTACGGATAATCCTAACCCAAAAATGCCTCCAACACCGTTTTTCAGAAAGTGGAAAACACTGTGTGGACCTGTGCAAGTCCACATAATTGATTCCAAGCTGACTTTTGCTTGACACATGAATTTGCTAAACACCAATTGTGCTTTATAACTCCATGAAATTAGCCCAGCACTTTTTAAGTTCAGTCAAGTCCAACTGACTACCAGTACCACTAAATTTTCACTTTTTTAGTTTCTCAGAAATTTGAGTTTTAGCAGACATTTAAATAAATGACACTACAACACTTTACATTTCTTGTCTGAGAAGATGCGTTCGAGAAAACTAGACAAACAATCATTTTAGAAAAAGAAAATCAACATTTTCTCCTGTAAGTGTTCAAACAGCAAATGCAAGGCTTTATCATTATAACAGTGAACTGGAGCTTTGTGATATCAGTCTACTGCCCTCTTGTGACGATTCTATGTTATTGAGTTGACCATGATGAAACTGCATGGCAACATCCAAAGCAAATATAACAGGCGCTGGAGCTTGAAGGTGCCTCACATGAACAAAACGGGAATGCCGTCTCAGAGAGATTTCTAAGGCAATGCCTCCAAACTCTGTTGACCTAACATGGGGATGAAGTCAAACCACCAAACATGTGCAATGAAGACAATGGGAAAAGTTCCTCTCGAAATCGCAGGGAATTTATTCAGAAATCCTTCTTTTTGAATCTTACCTTCTGATACAGTTGGTCCAGGTCTTCCCCATACACCAGGCTACCTTTCTTGACCATCGCAGTTGGCAGGCCTCCGACGCTCTGCAGACCGCTGACAGAGGAGCAACTGGAACCCTGAGAGTTCAACGAGGCGTTCCTCTTGAAGCGGCTCAGCGGGCTGGTAACAGCGGTCGACCGGCTGCCTGGCCGGGAGAAGCTGGAGCCCACGGAGGCGGTGTCCTCCTGCTCTGGGGTGTGGGAGGCTAAGCGAAGGCTCTCTGTGGAGGAGATGCTAGGGTTGTGCTTGGGAAAGTCCTGATGCTGCTGCTGTTGGTGTGGGTGGGACGGTTTGTCCGGCGTCCTCTTCAGCCGTGGAGGGGCCTCGGACAAGGAGGTCAGAATGCCCTGGATCTTCTTGATGAGGGGCTGGAAGCGCTCGTTGAGGGGCGGGAGCCGTCGCATCAGCAGTGACGCTTCCCGGCGGATGAAAGGATTGTAGTGGAAATCTTCCGGAATGGTGTCCAGCCATCTTGTCAGCATCAGGAGGATCTGTAATAGTTGACAATCCAAAGGCAGAGTTTGCTACTGAGTGCAAAGATGCAGTTTTTTTCCAAAAACAAACTCGAGACTGTAAGATCTGTGATTAACTTGTGAAGACTTGCAATGACTTATGATTTGTAATGAACTTTTGATAACTCAAGTACAAAGTTGAACACAAGAATCAGGCATGCAACTGGGAAGACGCAAAAAAAGAGGAAATTCGAATCTTTCCCAGACTTTGTACAGTGTTTTTCTATTTTTAATGGCACACATGGGAAGTAAAAAAAAAAAGAGGAAATCAGCTGATCCGAGGAATAGTTGCATGCCTGAAGAATGTCAGCCAGTTCATTGATTGCCAAAAATGTCAGCCTTAAATTAAAACCCTCCCTCTCTGGCTGGCAATTTCAACAAGGCCAGCCCAGCAGTCAAAATAAACCAAGTGACTGTTTTTCACAGTTGAGTGCTCCCTGCCTTCATAAAGCTGGACTGACTGGCTGTGATTGTTATGAAACCTCATATAGCTATGCTGTGACTGTAGGAGATTGATAAGTCAGCTGTGCCTACCAGTCACCTGCTTTTGTCTGTTGACAGAATTCGACTGTCACAGTGCCTACAAGAAATACGATCCGACTGTTGGTGACTAGCCTGTGTAGGCATGGCAGGGGAACAGGATTGAATTTTGACTATCTGTAACTGATCAAACAAAAGGAGGGTTTTAAAGTAAAATCCCTTGCCTTTGTCTGCAGATTGTTGTTGTTCTGGGCTGCCTCAGCTTCATCCTGCATCCCATTCCGTGGGCTGCGTAGCGTCGAGAGGAGGGTCTGCTCCAAGACACGCAGCAGGATGACGGGATGAACACTCATGGGCAGGGTCTCCAAGAGAGTGTCTTGGAAGCAACAGAAGCGACAGCGGCCAGAGGGTTTGCATCGTGGGTTCTTCAGCGGGTGATGGCGGGTGTTGGCATGTGGTTCTGGATGCTAAAAAAAGATAAACATTACCGAAACTAATCACCAATACACCACAAACTTTGAACTGATTTAGAAGACTTTTATTTAATCAGCATAGTAGAACAAGGAAAAGACTAGAACCGATTGTGACCACACAACCAACCTCTGACCAATGTACCAGGGTCCTGTCACTGAAGTACTTGCATTCAGCCAACACTGCACTGTTTGCCACTACAGGGCCAAACAGGTAAGTTGGCGGAGGTTTGGGTATAGTGTTCTTGGTCCAGAATCCAAATCCCACTCAGTCATTTCTGTATTTAACCTTGCATTATTATTAGGGATGGAATTAAAGTCCAGACTGGGACATCGAGTGCAGAAAAACATGCAAAACAAAATCAGACCAACTTTACTTAATCTAGTCACAAAATTCTCAAAAATGTTCATGAGGCAAAGTTTGAGGTCTCAATTTTCAATTTTCAATTTCAAAGGAGAGTTTTCTTCAACATCTTGTAAAGTTTCCCTTAAAAAGAAATTACATTTAAAAACAAAATAACTTTTTTTGTATGTTTCTAGCCTGGCTTGAATAACTTCACTGTGTACAAATACTACACATCAGGGAAATCTCAAATTGAAAGCTTCTTCAAAACTAATCAGCTATAGTCCCACTAACTGTTGGTCTGTCGTACGTGCTAGTACAACAGACCAACATCCCAAATTTTTTTTTTAAAGGAGTTCTAGCGCCCCAGTTAGTGGGACTAAATCAGCTATATTTTTCATATCTGCCATATTTTTCTGTCAGATCATAGCTTACAGAATTTTGATAGAATTTAGAAATGTGCTAAAAAATTAATTCTGCTATAAAAGTGCTAAATTTTCTGTCAAACTTGTTTTTTTCCCCTGAAAATGTATGTCAAAGTTAGCCAAACACTCGGCTAAAACGGTCACCCTGCATGAGATGGAACAAAGTAAAATAAAGTAAGCAAAGTCCCAAATTCATGTTTTGTCAACATTTTTGCGATGACTGACCTTCATTAAGATATTATTTATTAACTACGATGAAAAAAAGTGGCGTCAGGAATGGATGCATGATATGCCATGATGCAACAACATGATTCTGTCTGCCTAGTCATATTAAAATTCTGGCCTTATTTTATCCTTTTAAACATGAGGAAGGAAATATTTTTGCAACACACATAGCTTCTGCTTGGTTTGTGTTGTGGAGATCAAGGCATTACTAGGTATACATGTAATGAACCACCTGAACCTCAGTTGTGAACAGAAAATCGCCTCTTTTTTACACCACCGCGCGCCGCGCGCCGCGCCGTCATCCCGTCCGTCTATATGTCCGGAAACTGGGCAGGTGTATTAAACCAGAACACTTCCGTTGTCTTTTCAACATCACTGATATTCTAGTCAAAACCAGATTAACAGTAGAAGTTAAGCCCTAATAACAACCTTCTATATTCACAGGAGATTATTTATCCAGTTGGTGAAACTTCACTGAAAGGTAATCCACCTATAAGTGTGTACTTTTCAAAATAAAGCGCCGTATGTCGTATACAATATGTACGTACGTATGCAGACAGTGCATGCGAGATCGTTTCCCAGATCACGCACCTCCACTAGTACTAGTACTGTAAGCTGGGAGCCCGACTACGACTCGCTGATATGTAGCGCATGAAGTAATGTGAAGCCATATTGGGGAGACCCCTTGATCTCTTTGTTGTAACATCGACATCGAGGCATGATCATCATTGCACCTGGCACCTTTTGTCCTCCCCTCTCCCCCCCCCCCCCCCCCCCCCCGAGTTCTGTTTCAAAATTTCAAAAAAGCCGTTATTAATTTTTTGACGCTGTAGTTCACTTTTTTGCGATCTTTTGGAAATAATAGGTGGCGCTCTCCGAAGGCATGGGGTGCACTCTTGGGTGCACTCCACCAGAATCTTTATAAATTCCTGCGCGCGAGCTCGTTATTATTTTGTGATCCAACAGGTAATTTTGAATAAGACTCTTTAAGAGGTCCTTGCAAACCTATTATACTTGGGACATATTGTAATGATAGTTCGGAGATCAAGCATTTGAGACTTGAAGCATCCAACTCGGGGTATTCCGGTATTCCGTTTACAAAAAGCCCCAACGTCTGGATCTATTGGCCCTGGGAACATCGGGCGGCCCTAGTATTGGGCCGGAGATTGTAGTTTCGGGGAGGGGAATATATAAAAAAAAAAAAATTCAAATTGGCTGTTCTGGCAGAAAATTGCCCTGTAGGTTGTAATCTTTAATTTCCAGTGAATAACCAATCACCACCTTGCCCCTGAGTGCCTCCAGGTGGCGCTTTTTCTGTCCGTTTGTTACTTTCTTTAAGAGTGGACCTGACGTTCGCGTGACGTAAATAAAGGATATTCGCTAAAAAAAAGGGCATTCGTGAACATTTTTTTTGTTGGGGTGGGGGTGTAAATAAAATTTGATCGTTCTACTAACTTGACCCTCTAATTCCGGAAAAGGCCTTCCAAACACGTACACCAATACCAGCCATCTCTGCCATCACAGCGATGCCCTCTCCATGGCACTATTGTCCTGTAAATTTTGTCTTTCTCTTTCACCTGTTAAAAGTGCACCCTTTTTCATTTTGTCACCTTATCTATCTGGCTGTTGACGTCACCTCTGTACAACAGCCAAGTTTAGCCTAAATTGGGTTGCATGGGATTACTCTACCAATAGTACCATGTCACGCGGCAAGCCTCCAGAACTATCGCGCGGTCCGCCTATGGGCTTACAGGTTGCCCTTTTTCTTACTATAATTTTGACACAATGATATCTAAACGTAATCACCGCAAGAAGCATATATATTAGAATATTATCTTGGTATTCCTCAAGAAAAAATGATGAGAAATCACTTGGAGATGGGTAAAAAACGAATTATACTACCGTTGGGACATTTCACATCCGGCATTTTCGTTCCTAGGTCTCCTTGTTCGTTCACGGGAACGGTTTGTTTTCGCATCCCGTACTTGCGTTTTATTACGAACGAAAAATGTATATAAGATTTACCTACCCACAGCCGATGGGTTCTAGATTTTGTCGGGCTGACTTAAATGCAGTCCTTATCAGCGGTAATTTTAGAACTTTTTTTGTAAAATGCCACCGAGTTCTTCAGGTTTGTTCAAAAAAAATTGTATAATGATCCTAAAGAAAAAAAATTAGTCTCTTTTTAAGTTTCGGTTTTTACCCAATGACCGCCACAAAATTATTTCATAATTGTTTTCACCTTGTACGAGTAGAACGAGTTCCACTACTCCACATGTATGTTAGATTTTCGGAAGTGACAGGTCAATTTTTGGCACAATATTTCTCTCTCACGCCAGGCGATATTTCAGTTTCAAAAACTGAGATGCTGAAAACAATAATAAAGGCGTATTTTTCAAAGTTGATTTTCTTAAGAAATCATTGAACCAAAAATAATCGCAAATTTGGGATTTTTGCGCGTTCATTTTCATGCATATTCAAGGTTCCGGAAGCGTGCCACTAGGGATGAACTTTCAGGCTCAATTCCCTGCCATTTGTCTTAAGCGGAAGCCAGATGATATTTTGAATCGAGAGGCTTATTTCCCAGTTGACAATACATATAACCAATACACGGAGTAATTATACCAAATCCCCATCACTTTCTTTATAGTGTGAAGACGCGGTATAGCTGGCACTGATGCGCGCGTATGCCAGGGGCTGGAGATTACAACATTAATTGATTTCCCATTTTGCCATAACCGAAGCTTTCAACTTTTAAATGACTTCATTTCTATAAGCCTACCTCTCATTCAGTAAGATTCGACAGCTTAAAGAAGACCTTGAAGCTATATACCTTGATAATTATGACAGCCACTGCAAATCGATTTTCAGGCTCTTTATGGGGGTTTTAAATTCTCGCAGACCCGTCCCTCCGGGTGTTTTTTATGATCTGTCACTATCATAATTCATAATTTATACCCCCCTCCAAAAAAAAAAAAGATGAAGTGATTTCCTCTAGGGTAACACTCACTGAATGACACCGGCAGTCCCTGTCGGCGCCTTCCGTGCAGGGACGATGCCCAATTGCCATAGCAACCAGTGTCTCGAGTGTCGCGGTGGGCATCTTCAGCAACAAGCTGGCGCGGCCCCGGCCGTCGCTCCCCTTGGCCGTGCCGGCGTCGCGATGGATCGGGCTGGCGGGGTTCCCGTCCGTATAAGCATCTTTGGACGACCTAACTTCAGCTGTAATGGGGGGGGGGGGGTAGAGAAAGAAGGAACACTCTTGTACTTTGGCACTTTTTATAATTACCTTCAATGTAAAGAAATTGATGTGGTTGTGGAATGTGCAGTGAAACCGATATCTTGAAAATGAAACCTCTGAAAGATCAGGTTGGCTTGCTTTCTGAGCTGAGTGCGTATCCTAAGCCCAGTCCATTATTGTCATTTTTCTCTACAGAATTTCCATTTGCAGTCGGTTTAAGTGGAAACCTGAGATATTTGATACAAGTATCAAGATAAACTCGTCGTGTTTGCAACCACACCACATTGAAATGAATATCCATCTGCACTCTGTTTTTCTTCTTCTTCTTCTTTTCAGTGGCATTCCGAGAGGGAAATTGTGGTTTTACCGGCTCATAACATTTTCTGTCACTGTTGGCATCAATTTCCAATCCATGAAAATAAATCTGAATTTAATAAAGGCCGAGTTTCGGTTGTGCATGGCCTATATGACTCGCCCAATGCGCTCGGTATAACGGGTAAGATTAGGACGTGCGTTCCTCTGGGAAAAATAAATGCCATTTTTTTTCTTTCTCCTGAACACGATCGGGACATACTGATTGGAGCGTCGAGTTTCACAACCAATACAACCAGTTTTTATTTCAGAGCCACACATCTTCTCAACAGAGATTCTTCCACATTGTGTTACCGCAAACCCCCACTAGTTTAATAAATGCCAAGATTTCTATTACATGTATTCGTAAACAATCTTCGCTACACGGCGAATTTCGATTAATCAACGAAACCGAAGATCTCAGCTCGCTATGTTGGGTTATTATATTGGGCAATTGGGACCTTTCCCTTTGTTCAACCCTTGCCAGAAAATGAGAGAAGATTGTACGTTTACTACGTGTCGATATTTTGATACCATCGATGGTGAATCGGCAATAAAGGTGGAACATGTCTATTCGAGAGAGGATTGCGGTCGGGAAATGTCCATGGTTGATCGTTTTACGTAAGAGCAGCACTACATCAGCCCAATCACTGATAAACTGGTCGTGCCAATAGGAACATCCCAAAACACACCGCACAAAAAGAGGGAGGAAGCTTGAATGACAATATTAAACCCGAGGTCATTGCGTGCTGCCACCAAGCGTCAGAAAAGGCTTCAGTGAACAGTTTACCGACGATCCCATCCAATAAAAGCAGTCTTTAAATAAGGCCCATGGCCCTGCTACATATCATGAGCACTGAGTGCCGTGTATCTCCCTTGACATCGTGACGTCAGCAATCAAACTAAACGTGTCTGGGTCTCTTTAGCATGGCAAATCCAGGCCACCGTCGTCAATCATCACGAACGAAGATTCGAAGATGCCGTGCGTTAACGTTTCGCCTAATCAACTTTAATTCGCACAATTGACGCAGGTATGAGTCGCACGCCCGGTAGATGGTCAATAAATTATCGGCCGAAAAGTAAATGAATATATACGTAATCATAACACCTCATGTTCGGTGTCCCGGGAAAAGAAAAATACAGCCCGCAATTTACTAAAGTGCTGAACATGAATGTGTAACACTCCCCAATATTAAAGGTAGAGTACATCATTAATTTTGTCATTTGTGCATTTGTTTTCGTTTCAAGCAAAAATAAAAATATGATCACACCTAAAAGTAGTCCTGAAGCCCATCGCCATTTTGAAAAATTATGCCTACGCTCAACTGCAAAATAGAGCAATTATTTTAGGGCCCAATTTCGTCAAATTTCACAGAAATACAAGCTCGCAGTCATGCATGTTGACGATTTCCAACCTTTTTTTTTTAAACCCTCAAGTTCAAGGCCCACAAAATGCTCTAATGGGGAAAAAAAGAATTAGAGGGCAAACAAATCGTGATTTGGCCGGTGCAGGCAACTTTGGGCCTTTTATACTGGCCGGCGTCCATAATGCACGAACCACTCGCGCACGAGCGATCATGCCAGACATCGCTCATCGGAGTGTGATATCGAGGGTCAACATTGACACCAAGTCAAAATGGTGAGGCACCTCGTTTGCAGCGTGCCGTGTAAACAGAGTGACGAACGGCAATCATTTGATGATGGAACGTAAATCAAGCACGTTCATAAATAGTTTATCACTGCCATAATTATGGGACGGTAAATGGTTTGAAAAGACCAATATGAGCGATCGATGGGAAATGAACATGATTAACGATGCATCTCCAGGGGTACAAATATAACAATACGTTAGATATGATTTGAAGCTATACATGGTTAAATGGGTATGGGATGCCAGTCCATCGCAGGTTACTCCAAGCTAATGCCGGTACCCATTTATACTCCTAAGTGGAGAGAAGCAAGTAGGGGTAAAGTAGCTTGCCCAAGGACACAGCATATGGCCAGCAGCTGGATTCAAACCCCTGAACCTCTGATCACGAGTCACAAACCCTAACCACTAGGCGCACACTCCCTAACAATTTAATACGCAGGCATAGATCAGCATAGCCGCGGTCAGAGGCTGTAAACGTCTTCACCGAAGCATACGAGAAGGCAGTAGCTGAATCAGAGTTTGAGAAGAAGCAGAGCCGCAGCAACTTTAGTATTTATCATCAGCAGCAACCTCAGCATTCAAAGCGCACCAGCAGTCGCAGAAGCGCAAGACATAAGCATCTCAAGCATTATAAAGTACCAGCAACATCAGCAACTGCAGCAGCAGCATCAGTAGCACAGTAGCAAATTCTGCTGCATGTGCTATACCATTAGAGGTAGTATCGTCAGAAGCCAAACACAGCATAAGCAGCCAATAACACATTAAGTGCATAACCATTTGCATTTTTCCCCAAAGGTAACCTACCGAATTATTATCAAAAAGCTTACTTTGATTAAAGATCGTACTAGAAATAAACCTCCTGTGAAATTTAATATTCCGTCTGGCTTGCTGACATTTAGCAGAAATCAAGAATGTAGGTGATTTCCAACGATTAGTCAATAACATTGACTGATTTTTTTTTGGAAATAAAGAGTCCTATAGACGAAATCGTGTTTCGTGATCAAATAATAATTGTGAATTTTTTTTTCTTTTTCTTTTTTTTTCAAAATTTGTAATAACCACTGAGCTGACATTTTTACAGGTACGGTTTTTATAAACATTCTTCTTTGGATTTTGCGTGGTTTTATTATTGGAAACGAACAAAATGCATGAAAAGCAAATGATCCTATACTATGCCTTTTAAATGAAACGTAACAGCAAACACAAGAAAGAGAAGGCACATTAATTGCTAAACATTTCATCCGTGATATACCTTCCATGCCCAGTAGGCTTTTGGACATCCTGTGGTCGATGTGATCTAGAAGCCCCATGTATACCCGGATCCGCGTCATGTGTAGCACCAAAAGAGCTCCAAAGGTACGAGATTGTTCGTCTGACGCGCACGCCCGATCAAAATGGCGGGAAATCTTGTCGATCCGTTGGGCCAATCCTGCCGACATCAAGGCCACGTGGTTGGTTGGATCCAGAACGAGGACCTCAACGACTTGAAGGACGAGGCACAGGAAGTCCTGTCCAATCAAAACGAGTTAATACAAGTTTAGTTATCTTCAATCACATAAGCGAAAAATTTGTAGTTCGACCTACCAGGTTAATTAAAAAAATAAGTATCGATATGTTAATACATTGCATAGTAAGTTATCCCACAAGTCTAACATATTTCTGTGACGGTGCGCATATTGCGCAAGTTCTATACATATTTTTCTCGAATTATTTTCATATTATTTTCTCATTTTTTAAAGTGCAGATGTACAAATGACCCATTTTATTTTTTGTCGGTATTAAGAGCTACATTAGAGCAGTCTAAAATCACATTAAATAACACTGAAGTACGGGAATGTAACATGGCGTCGGTCTATAATGCACTTAAAAATATTACAACAGTAATGGTACATTAGGCACTTTCTATTAAATTATTTTACATACCACTTCTAGACCGAATTTGTAGCCGCAAGTTGCTTAAAACGACTTAGTACCGTTTATGATTTAAAAAAGTCTGGGGAGGGGGAGTATTTACAAAATTTATTGATAGAGTTGTATAGGAAGGTATTTGTTTGTTCATAAGTCTATTAGAATGTCTCCTTAAAGGGGTCATGCGATGAAATTTATTAGGAATACATTTTGTGCAACTTTCTAATCCTCTTAAATGTATGCAAACTATGTGACATCTCTTTTGGTTCATATTATTCAAAGTGCACTTCTTTAAACATTTTTTAAAATGCCATACTTTTCCGAACAACAGAGAGACGTTTGCTGTAATGTCATTTCAAGAAGACAATGTTCAGTGTAGGGGTTTTCTGTTCAAATTGTGAACCCCAACTTTGCTCGTTGAAAACACGATGAGAAAGGATTGCTCATTGGCTTTACTGCCACTTTACTTACACAACGAATCACCGAAGAAAAGAAAATTTATGACAGCAAGATATCAACAAATTCTATGAACTTTTTGAGCTGAAATGGCTGTAACATTGGGGTTTCTGCCCGGAATAACATCACAGTTTTGCTCATGAATATCGAAATTCACATCAGCATAAAAACCAAAAAGGCACCAAAATACCTTTCAAAATGGCAAAACGAAATTTGAAAATAAGGTGAAATATGGTAAAAAGGTACATTTTAAAGGATACCATTAAACACAATTACATGGCATGGGCGCTTTAAGGTGTTATTGTCGGTAATACTTATAAAGGAGCTCATTATCATGCTAATGATTTTGTTTTTGTTACTGCGATTTCAAACTGCGAATGCATCACTGCCATCTGCGAGTTGACTCAGAGAAAAGCCTTGCAGTTATAAAAGTTAAACTAAGACCGATAAAACAAATAATTCTTGGCGTCTGCTGACCTTCACGATATGACCGATTACCCATTAGCTCCCCGCACGGCGTTCATTACCGTTAATTCCCCCTGTACTCTTTCTCAATCTGGCGAAGCTGTCACTTGCGTGACCTGTGATCTTTGATTCCCGCCGATTTTCTCTTCTTTTTTAACCACGAGGCGCGCTAACGATTTTGGACACGACCGGCAGTAGACATACAGCCTATCTGGCCCTAATCGCTGGTCGCCTATACCTCATCAATGAAAGAACGCGTAACGCGAAACCGAGAAAATGTTTGACGTTTGGATCGCATTGCGGACTGTGTAATGTCCGCGGAGGTAATTGATACCAGCGGATGCGCTGCTGAACATAATCAGACGCAAAATTGTTCGATTCGCTCGTTTTATGAGGGAAATAAATCCACAGCTAGGCCTATCTCGTCTCCTCTACCCAAAATTGCGCTGGAAAGCTGCGTGTAATGTCTGAAGTGAACCTCCAAAGACCGTTTTGGGGATACCGTCATTATTTGTGATAATTTTGGTAATCTTTTTTTGGGGGGGGGGGGGATCCTGGAAACTATCATGCATTGTATCCTCAGCATTATGGGATGTATTTTAAAAGAAATGCCCAAAAAGGTTACTACGTGACTACAAAGATGGCGGTATCCATGAAAGGGTCTGTTGATCTTTCATGAATAACTTTTTTCATTTCAAGACTGGACCTACAACCGTTTTTTTTGCCAATAGAGATGTCGGACGGAAACTGTGCTTTTCACATGGCTAACAAGCAGACAACGTGACCACAAAGTGATAAATTATACCAAAAAATGGAAGACAACATAATTATGTTATGCAAGTACATGTAATAAGAAGTTTGGTCTGCCAGCGTTATAAAAGAAGTGGCGTGGTATTCTCGTACGATATCCTGATAGTAAGTTGTTGCAAGGCACAGCATGACGGATATCGAAGAATTTTCACGTTACAAAAAAAAATCAATGTGTGCAAAAAGGTGCAAAAATGAAGGCTTTGTCAAAAGAATTCATGACTAGTTGATAACAGGTTTCGCCTTAAATACCGGAATTTTCATATCGCTAAATCTGATGACCTATATTATAAGCTTGCACTAACAACCAGTGCTCCAGATTGCGCACTGCTTGGCAGATGCGTATCTCAATTCAACCTTTCGACATCCCACACGATAAAACAAGAACTGATAATCTTATTTCTCAAAGGTGTCTGTGTGAGGCTTCCTTATCGGCCACATCGAAGATCATCTCGCCCCTAAGCCTACAAAGAAGCGACGGCGGCGTCCCAACCATGATTGCGAAATGTGCTGAACAAACACCGAGGGACAGCGGGAAAAAAGGAATGAAACTCGCGGCCGGCAGCAGGCGAGATGGGCTCGAGACCTTAAGGAATCGACTCCCGGGCACTCCACCGGCAATATTCCGAAATCTCGTAATCGCTTTAAGCAGTTAACAACCCGCTCCTTGGGGTGATCGCTTAAAGGAACAGGAAGGGAAAATGAACTGCTCACATCACATCACGGGACATGCACATCGTCCTCTTTTTTATCTTCTTTTATTTCTGGCGGGAAATGCAAAGTACATGAAGTGGTGGATTTGCAGCGCGGTATATATTAAAGTCTGCCTTCATCTCCGAAACCCAAGGGAAATCTGTTCTTTATAGAAATATGCCCACGCATGATTTCCTCACGAAAAAACCGTGTAGATAATAAACAAACCTATACCACTTCAATAAGAAGCAAAAACACCTGCGAATTTTCATGGGAAGTATAATATATGCATCCAATGTTTCTTATTTGAATGTGCAGGTTTTCAAGGGTTCATTGTTGTGTGAGTGCGTTGTTTCCCAAAAGGCGACAGGTTGGCGTAGGCCTATAGTAGTACTTTCCTCGCCTTCCACCGCTGTGACCCGGTTTCGAATCCCGCCAGGGCCAACATGTAGATTGGGTTTTCAGTCCCTACCTGATTCCGTGGGTTTTCCCCAGAATATTCTTCTGGGCTTTTCCTCCCACCTCTAAAACTGTAATTTCTTCTCATTGTCTTCTCTCTATACACAAGTTTGCGAGCTACAGTTACTAGGGCGCTTTTGAGGAATCCTTGGTTTTAGTACCAGAAATTTAAAAAATATTTAAAAAAATACAAATAAAAAAGATTCAAATTCTGTCAATGTCTGTTATTTGACATCAAGAAGTTTAACAAACTCACAATGGTATAACAAAAATAACGTTGAATTTTTCATACGCAAAAAAAAAGAAAAGCCAAAGTGTTTCCTACCTGATCACACGTCGGCTCCAGAACAGCTAACAATCTCCACAAATATTCCGGGCGCATGAGCGCGCGACGCGTGGACGGTAAGCTCGCGATTGTCAACAGAGCTCTGGCTGCCAGCCTCTGGGCTTGCTTAACTTGCGTTGGGCCGGCTTCCGCTGGAGACCTCACAGGAGAGGACTTCTCATTCTCACTCGAAGACTCCTCTTCAGAGTCAGACGACTTGGAGACACTCTGGAGACAATCCAACAACATGTCTATGTCGACGGTTGTCAAGAGCCGCACCACGCTGCGTGCTGCCGGTTGCGAGGATGTCTGCTTCGTCTTGGCGCTTCGGCCAATACTCCGGGCAAACTTTCCCAGCTTGGAATGGACACTCTTCCGGAGCACTAACCGCTTGGCGTAGAAGGAGTTGGAGCTGTAGCGAAAGCTGGGCTTCCTAGTCAGTCCAGGAGACGCGGACTTGGGCTGCTGGTGACCGTCTACCTTCAACCGGATCCGGTCTAGGGATGGGCTGGTCGGGGCAGACTGGGCTTCGCTTTCCTTTGAGTTTACTCCTCGATTGAAGCTTACGGAGAGGTGTTCGCCCGATTGGCCATGCGGGTGTCTCAGGGCGCGCTTGGGTGTCCCGTTGTCCGCCCCGGGGCTGGGTTTCTTCGGGCTGCAGGCGAAGCTGCACGAATTCCGGCTCTCCTCCATCTTGAGATGCAGCTTGAGCACAGTGTTCACGACGCTCAGAGCCGCGTCTCGGACGCCTTGCCCGCACCGGACGAACTGCAGGGCGATGCGGAACAGTTTACCGAGCCTTTCCCCACGGATGCCCTCCAGAGACCCGCTGCCATGGTGACTACCGTCTGCTTCCAGTCCTTCTAAGGTCCCGTCCCCGGCAGCCGGCGCCGTGCACGCCTAACGTTCAAAGTAACAAACAGAGAAAAACCCTGGCGATATTAAAAAACCACATCACCATTAAGTTATCCAAGTCCAATATGAAACATGAGCGAAATTAATTTATCGATCTGTACTTGACTGTGCCTATAGTCTAGGTGTTGCAGCATCACAATGTATAGCCGTACCTCAATCCAACATTATATGGGTTATTGACAGAAGCGCACTGCCTTGAACCCACTCCTCCTTGTTGCCATGTTAAAGTGTGCTGTTACTGTTTTGTTACTGTATCCCCAATTATGATAGTACAAGACCTCGTCTTAACACGCAACCTCTTAAAAGATTGTCGTACCACACTCAACTCGCTTCAGCTCGCACGAGAGTGCCTGGATACCGAATTAACCTGATGAGTATCAGTATAATTGTCGTTTGGTAAGAGTGATAATATAATCACAAGTCAATGCATATTACATCGTACAACCCCGATCTACTGCCCTGGCGTTAAAACCGCTCCATTATTAAAAACTGAAGCGGTGGGTTTTAATTTGTTAATATTGGTTCCGCTGAGCGGAAGAGAGCACCAACCCGCGATGTTTGATCTGGTCCAGTGGAAGCAATACGCCGCACCTGCCAGATTTTTTTTTGGTTTAAAGTCACTCGCCAAGCAAAGAATTCTTAGGCCCGATTTCTTCAAATAGCATCCAGAACTACGTGTCAAACATTTACAGAAACCTAAGCTCGTTGCAATTTGCGTTTGTTTTTGAAATTCCGTCAATACGTTGTAGAAGTGTGACGTCACGCGGTGTTGTCACCAAAATTGATCGGTCCAAACAATGTATCGTCCGCCACTTTTGCCATAGGATTTGCACAGGCGATTTTAAGTGAACATTTTCTGTACAAGTTTAAATTTCTCAGACATTTAGAATAAATAAAACCGGAAAGATGAGACGGTGCTTCGTAGTTGAATATAGCTCTCATTAAGAATGTAACGGATTCCTTTATTTTTCTTTTCTAATGGAACAAAATTGAAAAACTGGGCACCGAGCTATTGCTATACGTAAGGACAGGTTTGTTTAGACTCATCCCCCCGGGCAACGCGTGAACCCGGTTGCGTATGACGTAACCATTTCTACGGCGTATGGCAAGACAAACCTGTACCCTCTGAATAAAAAGGTACTGCGTGTCCAAAAAACATGTCCTACTTTTGATCCTAAATTACAATGTTGTTTACCAATGGAATTAAAGTAAAATGTCAGATCATGTAAACAAGGCATGAAATTTTTTTATGGATACTCACTTTCAGGATCTGCCACTTTCGACTTGGCATCCTCCCATGTCGATACAGCAATGGAGACGGTGGCGGAAGGCGCGTTCTGCGGCCGAAAGCTAAAGGCGTGCAGGATCACCCCTGATGTCATTGCACACCCCCTCGGTCGTTTGGCGCAACACATGACCGAGGAGGTGAGCAATGACATCAGGGGTGATCCTGCATTCCTTCATAAGCTTTCGGCCGCAGCACGTGCCTTCCGCCACCGTCTCCAGCGCTGTATCGACATGGGAGGACGCCAAGTCGCAAATGGCAGATTCTGAAAGTGAGTATCCGTAAAATTTGTCATGCCTTGTTTACATGATCTGAAATTGTTGTTTAATTCCATTGGTAAACAACAGAGTTATTTTTGCGACGTTTGATGTAACACAGCAAAAATTCTACTTTACCCAATGAACATGAAGCTCCAAAAAAAAAACACCTAGACTTAAAACATGACGCTAAATGCACCAGTCATCGCCCCTTTAAATGACTTGGAAACAAAAAATTACCAGGAGACACATGGGAGATGCAGTACCGTGCGGAAGGTTGCGTGCTAACATTGCCCAGTCCCCGCCGACATTAGAGCCACTTCATTAGGTCTATTAAACTTCTCCATTGCCCGGCAACCCATATAAACACACAGTGTTATATACGCCAAACGCAGAGCTACTGGCAATGTCATTTCGCGGGCTGCTATAGACATTAGGCCCTGAAGTCACAAGTCTGTTTCATCGCATTTGGGTTCATCATTAAGTCCTATTTTCATTCTTCTTGTGTTTCTTTCATTTTCCATGCCCGGCGAACCTGCCACGAATGTGAAATCAGACGTAGAGGGGTCCAAATGAATGATTTTCTTTTCACAGTGAACTGCAAATAATAATTATGATATATATCCACATATTGAGATGATATTCACATATTGGCCTACTTCTTTTTAGTTTTGATATACCATTTTCCATATTTGGTGGAATTGCCCAGCCATGTGAAACAGTGTAGACCAAATGATTACATTTCCATAGATGTTCATAGTATACTGCAAATGAGATGATAGTTATACCTACACTCTGTTTCGAAGTAGGTCAAACCCTATATGGATTTGCATGCGAAAGAAGGCTGTAAAGACAAACTGAAACTTAGTGATGTACAGCTTTGCCAATTATTGTGCCATGTATAAAACACACAATGTAAGACTATTGCCTCGCTATTCGAAGTCCCAAACCAAGTTCAATGTAAATGTCCAGATGTTCGACATTAATATTGCTTATGAAACAAATCTGAAATGCGGACGGCGATAGACCCTCTGCTTAGTTGGTTTATATGAATCTAGCGATGATGAGAGTTGGAAACTTAAACAGCGAAGAGCAAGGTCGTCACCAGAATTGTTTTTCTAAAGGGGGGCAAAGCACATTATTTCCCCAAATCCTTGTACTTTCTCTAGCATATTCTCAGTTTATCATTTCTCGAGGGAGGGCGGGGGACATTTGCCCACCCCACCCCCATTGACACCTCTGCGAAAGCCCATGTTGTTAAATGTGCATAAAACTAACAGCAATGTGACTTCGCACCTCGTCTTCTTCTATTTTTTTCTTTTTATTCCGGGAGGGGGGGTGCTTGCCCGCCCCCTCGCGACGCCCACGGTGAAGAGTCTGTATATTACAATACGGCCAATCTGCGCTATGGACATCATGATATTCAAATCATTAACCAACACAATTTGGGGAATGAATGGAGTATCCTGCACGTGGGACAATTAAATTACCTCCTCGTCCAAGGCCTTCATTCGTTGGGATGATAAATCACTCGATCGTTAATTGGCAAAGGAAAGCTTCCGTTTCGTACCTCTTGAAAAAGATGCACACTGTTCAATATTTACAGGCAGCGGCGAAAAGATCTTTCAGCAAACCTATTACTGAAAGCCATTTGTGAGTTAAAATGATGGATTTTCATGCTTTTGCAGCACCGCAGCACGCTAATAAAGCAATTATACCAAGCCAGTTTCATTTTAAACGGTTCTTTTTTTGACTGTTTTTTGTTTGTAAAAACCCTTAAAACATATATGTTTTGCGGAAACGATTCTAGCTCAACCATTTTTATCTAACTGATATATACTACCCCTAACCACATCTTGATAATAAAAGTATATATGAGTTCTTTAATTTTACAAAGTTCTAAATTGCGCTGGGTGGTTTCAAGGACTATCTCTCCCCAAAATCAAATCACCTGCAGTATATTCCGGAGCATTTTGCCGACGCCGAGACCAATCTGCCCACCAAGGCTGGTCGTCAGGGGTTGAAGCTTGGGAAGGCACACGGGCAGATACTCCAGTAGAAGCGGAAGACATTCCCGATTGGCTGACAGTCGCTGGGCGATCTGAATGCTCCTCTCGGCGGCAAATGTCTCGCAACAAGCATCTGAAATGGAGAAATAAAAGCGTTTGAACGCGTAAAGCAGCATTAAAACGTCTCACAATAAGCAACCGAAACGAAAGAAGGTTGTGTCAGACAATGGCGTTTGAACGCATGCAAACGGCGTTGAAACGCCTCGTGGACAGAACTTTAAAACGGTGGTTGCGTTTAAAAGTCCGTAACTTGAAAAGTACATGAGTGATTTGAATGATTCTTGTACTAAAAGAAAGCTTATGAATTGAGCTTTCATATTCTCGATTTTGAAAGGGCTACATTCAGAAATTCACTTAAACAATGGTCCCAACATTTGGGTTTCGTGTTTTTTTACTCACCCTGTAGATCACGTGGTCAAGCGAAATGCGTATAGGTTTCTTGTTTTTTCCCTACCTAATCATCATGAATCAAACGTCATGCAGTGAAACCTATAAGGCCTTTATATTTGCAACGGCGTAAGCTCGCCAGGGTATATTCATATTAACAGTCTGTTACATCTTGACAACCCATTGGCTATTGGAAGTGACGTCATCGTCCACTCCAAGAACAATGGAATAGACCATTATCATGTTGCGGCCATCTTGATTATTCCCATTCAAATCAACGCAACCAAAGCGAGGCTGGAAAGGAAAAAAATAGTCTGGTTCCTTTTTGCACAAAACAACACATTATTGTTCAGTACTGTTATTGGATACAGGGAACATGACTGAAATAATGGCAGCATAATAAAGGTCTATTGAAAACAAATCTATCCTGATTTTTATTCTATCTAGAACTGTAATTTAATTTGTTATTAAAATGTGGGTCCTTATTGATTTTTTAATAGTAAAAATTAATTTGTGACTTAAATATTTTTACATGAAAATGACTCTAAGCTGCTGCAAACTGCTTACCGACTGGAAAGACCTGAAATATACAAATCAACAAAATAAGCTGGCCTGACGTTGCAGTCTTAACAAGACCTTCTTGTTAAGACCGCAAGGCCAGGCCAACTAATTTGTTGATTTAAATGTTTTCTTTACGTTAAATTCTGTAGAGAATAAAAAACAAATCGTTTGTTTTTAACTTTATTATAAATGTACTATGGGAGTGGTTATACTGGTTCCCGTACCAATGAGCCCCTCTGGAGATAAGTCCGTTGAAAGATCTACCAAACACGCCATCAACGGCCAAAGTCAGCGCTCGGGTATATAGCAATCATAATATAATACCGTGTCGCCACTTGATTGCCGCAGTCGCCACTTTATTGCATCCGGGTATTTTGATCACGTATAATTTCCCCTCGTTATGAGATCCCCGGTTCGGTATAATCCTCGCGTGTGTGGCCCCGCGGTTTCGTTTGGCTTGATTACCGGGTCAGAAATTCGATTTATTATCAGTAATTCCACAGATGAATACACACTGATGTGGAATACTGCGTGTCTCGGTGTCTACGCCGACAGACACACGTACTGCACTGCGCCAATTCTGGACTGAGGATTTCCAAATTGGGCCTAAGTAGGCCTACGGAAAAAAAATACAGCCAGTAAGTCTTCGCACAGGTGCTAAATTATGGTGAGGGAAACTTTGGACTCGTTGTGCGATACAGAGAAAAACAGACCTGGCTCTAGGTCTCGAATTGTACATAAACTTCATAAAAACACACCATAGTCACTGCTTCTGCGTTTGTCATTTTGTCTCTGATGCGCCGTATTGCTGCAATTGAGGTGTTTCCGTATCCAGGAAGACATTTTCAGAGTTTGTGCTAAAAAAAATAACTGCGGTGTTTAAGCTTATATACTGACTTGTTCTTACCACATCAAAACAATCGATAGGAATACTGAAGTATTTCAAATAATGCGCTGCAAGTTTCGACCATTCTCTTATAAAATGAATGTAGGGTAGAAAGCACGTGCAATGACAAACTTTAAATCAACGTGTTTTACAAATACAAGATTTATTATGTGTCTTACCTTCTTCAATATCATCCAGAGTGTGCGTTCTCGATCTACTCAATTTTGGCTCACTCGCAACGGGCTGTGGCATCTTCTCGATGGGAGAGGCCGGGACGGAATCCGAATGGTCCTGCTCGCTCTTCACCGGTTCCTCTCTAGACCTTCGCCGTCGGTCTAGCCAGTGCCACAGCCCAAGACTCATCTTCCGGCTTCGCTTCTCTACTGCGGCTATCTGCTCTGGCGTCTCCCTCTCCGCGTTGGCCTCCTGTGGGATGCAGACCGTGGCGCAGCGGTCTCGAGCGCTCGGGGATCGAGACCGGGCCACTTTGGCCACGAAGCGCGGCAAGGCCAGGAGCCCAAGGGACACCTTGCGGTTGTCTCGGACCGAGTTGATTCTCTGCTGCAGGACGTCTTCTTCGGGATCGTCAGGACCCTTGTCGGGATAAAACACATCCAGGGTTTCCTGGACCACTTTCTGTTGGAGTACTTCCAGTCCGGGGGCTTCGTCGACCGGCCGCTGGCCCCTGTTGTCGGCCTTGAATATCCTAGCGCCGTGCTCGATAAAAATCGCGGCGCATTCCCACCGCTCAAGAGGGGCCTGAGCGGCAACGTGGAGCGGCGTGGCGCCCCGGGAGTCCTCAGCCTCTGGGTCTGCGCCGTATCGCAGCAAGGTCTTGACGATCAGGCAGTTTGCCATCCTTGTAGCGAGATGTACAGCCGGCTTGACGAACCACTCCCGGACGGTCTTGATCTGGTTAGCGAAGTACTGCAACCCGTCTGGGTCCGTACCGTTGGTCTGTTGACAGGACGACAGGCCGAGGTCTTCTGGCAATTCCACCCCTTGGCAGTTGGGATCCACACCGCACTTCACCAGCAGGCGAACCACCTCGGTCGATCCGCAGGCAATAGCGAGATGCAAGGCGTTCGTGAACACACACGGTTTGGGTTTGTCGTGGTGGGTACCGTCCTCCTGACTCCTCTCCCAATTGCTGATGAGGGCCGTGCTCTGATTCAGCAACACCTGGACGGTCAGACTGTCACTCCGAGGTCGGGCCTTGCTGGTCCCCGGCCCGACCACGTCGTAGTTGACATTGAAGAGGTTGAAGTGGGTGTGGAGCACCCGCGACACGGTGGCTACATCGTTGAAGAGGATGGCCATTCGCAAAACGTCCGCGTCCACATTCGGGTTGCCGGTCACGGACTGGAGTTGCCTCACCAGCAGAGACATGTTGATGGTCAGGGCAGTAATGCAGGGGATGGTTCTCAGATTGGACAAGGAGGCTTTCCGCAGCCTGGAAGGGAGGTTTCTGGAGCTCAGGAGGGGGCTTCTCAATTCGACTCGGCTGCTGCCGTCGCCTGACAGCAAGGCCTTGGGAGCGAGGGAAGTTGAGCGGCGGTGGCTGAGGAGGGTGGGTTGAAGGGACGCACGTCGACACGGTAGATCCTTGGTGCTCGGGTCAACTCCGTCCATTCTCATCGCTATCACCTCTACCATACGCCTGGCCTGAGAGGCAAACACACCAAGGGAAATGTTAACACTAAAACGGTACATTCTTATCTTCATAGGGTTCGTCCTTCACCGACGTATAAAAAAAAACACTGTACATTGAGAGCTTGTGAGAATGCAAACCACAGACTTACTAAGGTGAGACTCGAACCCAAGACCTCCTGCATATACTGGTCCACATAATCATACAGCTCTACCAACGAGCTCACAGATTCAAAACCGATACAAGAAATACCGGAAATCAATGTTTTTTTGCTATAATTTGCGACGGTCGATAAATATGTGGTTTTACCCTTTACCGACCACACATTAATTTCCATTCATAACTGATACAATCCTCAATACTCCAAGTAAGATTTGAAGCTTTCTTTCACTTCTTTGCAGAAGTATTGAGGTTTTGCATCCACGTGACTTTATCACTTGAACGGATAAAGATCCGACATTTCGGACGTCTAGCGCGGCGCTCGATCGATTGATCTTTCGGCACATGTACATCGCGTTATTATTAACTGCTTTGATCACCTTTGGATGGACTTTTCTCCAAAAAGTCATTGACTAACCCCCAAAAATTGAACAGAACATGAAAGATGAAGTAGACGTCAAATATGGCGGGCGTGTGGGTGACCACTTGTGACGTCACGTGAAATTCCTCAATACTGGAAAGTTTAGGCTTGATGTTTGCAAATATTTTGCTCGGGCAGCAAGAAGAGGGTGTTTTTGTCTGACCTTTCATCACGACTCAGTGACTGACGGGCAGGGACACTGAGCCAATCAAAATTTAGATAAATATTGCTGGCGAGTTCCCAAAAATAACATTCACCGGGTTGGTGGTATTTGAAAACAAAAGGAGGGGCTGTTGGACACTATCTGAACAGTGGTGGCGCTGTCCATTACAGAAGAGCGTGTATACGCAGACGCTTAAGCTGTACCAATCGATGTACTTGTTACTTTTTATCTTTTTCAAAATTTTGATATTCTTTTCCGAACGAAAGTTGAAGGAATATAATGCACTGTAACAAATAAATTTGCTTGTTTACTTTTGCAGGCCTTTATACAGTTTTAAAAATTGGTTTTAAGTGGCGCGCTGAAGTTCAGAAAATGCGGAACGAATTTAGGTGCGTTCCGCACTTTCAAAGTTGAAATTAATTAATTCATTACTTGTCATTGACCAAAATTTTTGAGTGCGATGTCTCATTGGAAAGCTCATAACTAATGTAATGCTAGAAAATTATCGATTCAATTTGAAAAACTATTTTTCAAGGTGCCACACCCAAAAAGCACGTATACACCAATTTTAACATGATTTACTTAAATAAATAATTTCAATAATTTCAATACGTGGCTCGATGGCATATTTTAATACTTTTTTATCTTTTTTTTCTTGTCCAAAAAATACAGGAAGTATAGAATGGATGCATGAAGTTAAATTTCATGCAATGCCCATATTCACATAGGCCTACCCATTACATGTATTTGGAATATTATTTCTGAAACAAATAACGTTTAAAGTCCGTATATTTATACTCATTTCCAACAATTTTAGGAACATCAACATCTTTATTTTTTGCAGGTGTCGAAGCCATATCATATTTTTGGCGGAATGTCCCTTTTCTAAAAGGCATACAGGATCATTGGCTTTTCACGCGGTTTGTTAGTTTCCAATAATAATACCACTAAAAATCCAAAGCACAATGTTCAGAACCTAACCTGTTGAAGTTTCGGCTCTGTGGATTTTACACTTTTCGAGAAAACATTAAGAAAAAAAGAAAAAAACATGCACAACCTTTTGATCACGGAACACGCTTTCGTCATTAACACTCTTTATTTCCAAAAGTAACGTTGGCTGATCGTTTGGAATCACTTACATTCCTTGATTTCTTCTCAATGACATCAAGCCAGACGGAGCAATTTCACGGCGTGCTAATGTACCGTACCAGTACGATCTTTTGTAAGCTTTTTGATAATAATTCGACAGGTTACTTCTGGGATAAATGCAAATAAGCCTACCGTATATGCCTTTAATCGTGGGCTCCATGATCTATACCATTACAGCATAATTTATACTCCCCATACTCTTTGTATGAACGAAAAGCGAAAGCGATGCGAATGGTGTGAATAATTTCTGCGTTTCTAATGTGACAATCGTCCTTGTTCAGACAACTCGCTTTGCCCCCAAATTCACGTAGTCTGAACCTACCTCAAGCCGGAAGTAACATAACATAATATATCAATGTAGCTCCGAAATGTTAATTATTTATCTCTATTTTTTCGATACATTGTAAAACGAAATGTTGTCAATATAATTATGTGTACAATGACTGACCAATGCAATATTAACAATGTAGCACTGATCTTTAAAGGAAAGGTACAATAAATAATAAAAATGGTTTAAAATGGAAGTGTAATTACAGCTTGGAACATTAAGCAGATAACTTATCAAAACAAAGAAGTTACTAAGATGGGAGAAGGAAACCTTCCAACAGTACCCCTTTAAAGGACGAAATGATTTTTTTTTATTAACATGTACAGGATTTTAATTCTAGGAATGCCACTGCACACGCAAAACCTTGAGGGGAGACGCGTGATGAAATACTTTGCTCAAGGTTTGGTGATGGAAGTTAAAGGGAAAGTGTGGCTCAAAATGGCGTCCAATCGGGTCCCTCTTCAGTTCCGTGCCGAATCAGCTGCGGTTTTGAGAGTCCGTTCAGCGGGGCACGTCTGCACCGCGAGAATTCACAGGAATTTCAGACCAAAGAAAGTCAATACAGACGGTTCTCACGGTGACATGCACGTCCATGTGCAATACGCAGCAGACTTGATGCAATCATTTTTTTGTCAGTGTCTTGTCTTTCATAATGCAATGTACACAGCTGAATAAATACGTCGCTATAACTTCTTGAATACCTTACCTATGCCGAGAGGCCAGACTGAAGTCCCCGCGTTAGGCATCCGAAGTGGTCGGGGGAGATCTAGGCCATGCCAACAACGAACGGAAATCCCCGAAGGGACAAACAGCTTCGATTTAGCTTTTTCAGACCGATTATCAGACAAACTCAAACACAGTAGTGTCCACTTCTAAGTTCTATGTTATTGACTTTTGGTCAAACACAGAGCGCCCTCTACTTAAAAAGAACAAAATACCAACGCCGTGACACACAATGGAGAGGAAACCTGCACAAGTACATACCAGTGGTACATACACACGTTCGTATAGGCACCCATACATGTACATTGTACATTGTACATGTGCATGTGCTCACTCTGTACACGACGGTATATAATTGGTCGGGCCATAGTGCCAATGCTGTGGAATTTACTTTTTGGGAGTTAGGAAAAAAATGTTGGGGCGACTCGCCGGGCGGCTTATTTGTCACAGAAATTCTTGAGACGGGCACAGTCGGCGGGATGTCGGGGGGACGTCAGGCCAAATTAGACCCGACAGGTATACGGTACAGATGATGTCACATGGCTGGATGCATGTATCGTAGCATTCACACTTGATTCACTCAAAATCGAAGGCACCGGAATTTGTATTAAAGGGGTAAAACTAGGCACCACATTCGGACCAAGCGGGAGGCATTTGCGAAACAAAGAGGTGGCGCGCACGGGGACACGCCCCTCCGTGAGGCCTGACCCATTTTCTACCTCTTTCCCGCTCAGAAGTAGGGAGAAGACCACAACATTATTTATTAATTGAAACCTATAGATGGGTGCTCCAAGAAAATGGGGTCCTCAATATCCCTCCCACTTGGCAAATTGAAACCCATGTCACTGGTTCGAGGTTCTTTCAGAGGTGTGCCAACCTTGCCATCTTTGTGTGGACCTGAAAACAAAACAGGTCCACACGATGCAGGTTGTGTAAACCTTCTGTGGACTAAGCCAGGTCCACAGAAGGTTCCCTCGCTCTGAAAAAAAAACAGGGTGAGAGGCATTTTGGGTTAGGGTTATCTGTCGCAAAATGAAGTGGAGCACTCAAGGAAATCATGATATAAAAAATGGATTGAAAGAGTATTCACAGTGCGAGTGAAATAAGTCTTTTCTTCGGAAATACCTACCTACCTAGTGTGGACAAAGGAATGTCCACACTAGGTAGTCAGGTAGGTAAGGTAGGCACGTATGTATTTGTGTGTGTTGGGGAGGGAGGCTAGAAGACTTAACCCCGCCCAATAACTAGCTAGTCCCTCCCTCGCTCCATTGAATCCTCGAATAAACAGAACGACATACATTGGTGTCACCATTCATTTTCAACTAATCTTCGAAAACACAGCCCATCAGTTTCAAAAGAATTCCCTTAAAATAAAACATCTCATTTTCCAAGACGAATCTCGAAGCCCCGGACCGGCCACAGACTCTCCTGATATATTTCAAATCAGAATTACCGTAATGTCAAGAGTCTAGCAAAAAAAATAGAAGCCAGCACATAGGCCACCTAAGATTTCAGCCATTCGCAATAGTCCAGTGAATTACTACCGAGTGAAGACAACCTGCATGCAACCGCCGCTTTAACCCCCTACCTATAGTGTACACGTGTCAAGAATGAGCAAGTTTATAGCTCGTCGTATCGTCAATTATTAAGATGAGACCTTTGGCCGGCCTACTTCGAACCTGGACCCAGCTTCAGCTCGCACGTGGAGCGGAAGCGAAACTACAATCCTGCCTGCGCCAAAATAGCTCCGGCAAATAGAATGCGGTAAATATTTGTTTCGTATTGCCCGATATCGTGGTGTGCGTCAACATGACGAGTAATAGACATTGGGGTTTCGGAAACGATGGCAACAGAGGTTAAACTGTTGTCAAAAATACCCTTATAACATTTTTAACTGCCCGGCAGAGTATTTTTAAATTGTGCGATACATAACTGCCGCATGTTATCATGGACAACCGTTTGCTTTAATGGAACATCTCAGTCACTGTTAGGGGAAAGTTCCATCCGTGACCAGCCTGAATAAATGCATAATATGCCGATGGATAGTGAAGTGGTGATGAGCTGCCTATTT